CAGCTGAACCAGTAATTTTTTATTCGATTTCAAAACAACAAAAATCAGTTTTCTGAGAGAACCAGAACTAAACAACTTCTACTCCAAAACAGAAAATGGTAGTATCCCTTTCTGTTTGAATATCATTTTAAGACCTTTGTAACTTCAATAAGTATTATAAATTACTTTTGAACTAGTCTACAGTTACCTGCACTTTCATGTTATTTTTCAAACATATTTAGTTTATGTGTGGATAAAATTTCATATACAGAAAATAAGGGTGTTGCTGCTGCAATCAAAAGTCACCTACACTGTTCATTAGAAGATTGCCACTAACTAGATTTGCTCCTGAAAAATTAACCAGAGACGTACCTCATTTGCTACTTTGGAATCATTAACCTAAATGCTGTAAAGCACTGTATGAAATCTAGTCATCTGCTGTAGCCGGTAAAAGCCATTATTATTCCTCTTCTAGTATGGGCTCAGGCAAGTGAAGACTTTATGGACACTAGACAAGTCAGAGATGAGAGTATACAGAACCCCGTATAAAAATGGTAAAATTCCATACGATTTCTCCACGTTTTGTGATTTTCGTACCTTTAATCCTGAAAACTAAATTTACTCTATTACATGAATAAAAACAGACTCCCAGGACAGGAAATGGAACTGTCAGGAACGAATGTTACTATACTTCAGAAACTCCTGAAAGGCGAGTCTTGACTCGCCTTTGTAAGAACTTACTATGGAGTCACAGGGAACTTCCTTAAAGGAACAATGCCACTCCTGATGCCCAATCTGAACTCCAAGTTAAAAGCTGTAGCTCTGATGGCAGGGCATTTGCCCTGTCCTAGTTTCTTCCTTCCCAAGCTGCTCTGAAGCACCTTCTTCAAATGCTCTTGGTCCCACATGTTACGAATTCCAAATAACTGAAGGGGTGAAAAGTCAGCTTAAAGAAATACGTTATTGCACGTTCTCAACATTTCTCCTTCTTAGGACTGCAGAAAAAAGTCAAGATTAAGTCTTAATACTTTCTCTATAAACTCAGCATCAGAACCTTTTCGTTTTTCTTCACTAGTTGATAAGGTTTCCCAGAACTAGACCTTTCCACTTTCAGAACTCTGGAAAAGATTTAGAAACATGAACTATATTAAGTAGCATGCCTTGTCTGTGGTGCTTCCACATTTTAAAAAGCCTGGAGATCCTGGCTTGGGAAAGCTAGAAAAATAAACACCAACTATGATGACTGGAGAAATTAATTTAAATTCCTTTTCTTGTCCCTAAACTTCTAATAAAAATAATTTAAATTTGGCCCTCAGAACTGTTCCCTACAAAAACTACTTATCATTATACACGAATAGTTTCCTTTATTTTTTGTTTGTTTTTCCTCTAGTTCTATTCTTTCCCACATAGATTGAACCAAAGTAAGATTGGCCAAACCTAATTTGATTCTAATCCAAGCCACACACCCTCTGTATTCCATTCCAAATCAAGTTAATTTACTGACTTCCTTGGGTCCCAACTGAATGACCTACTGGAATCTATGAAAGGGGTCAGAGAATAAGATTGCAGGCCAAAAAAAGAATGTAAAAAAACAAGCAAGTCTGGAAACCACCAGCCCAAGGGACACAAACTAGGAAAGATGTTTTGTTGTAGAACTCGAATGTAAGACATCAAGTCTTCCAATGGGAAGAGTAACCAACAGAAAGGCAGATGACTGCATTTATCAGTTGACAATACACACGGACCCCTCGTGTCTATGAATTTTACAGTAGAAACCTGAGTACTTGCTGCTAGCGTCCAGCTCAGGGCACAGAAGCCACTCTCCCTCAGCCCCAGGATTCTTGTTGTGCACTGTGAAATCTTTAAACATAAACTTTACTTTTTATTTTATTTTTATTTTTATTTTTTTTGGTAACGGGTTAAATATTTCACTTCTGACTTTGGTAACCAAAAGCTTTTAGACTGTTGTAGTCCAAAGAATTCTAGACCTTCTCCTTAAGTAAAAACTGACCTTCAAATAACAAAGACAACACCATTTGCTAACCACGTAGACACCAGTAACATAATATAGGGGGTTTTTGTGTGTGTAAGTATTAAACCCAGGGCCTTGTGCATGCAAGGCAAGAACTCTACTACTGAGCCACTTCCCCAGTCCCCAACAGTTATACTTTTATACCAATGATGTCATTAATATTGTTATAGCTCATTAAAAACTTCCACAGTGTTTTTGATCTTCAAAGTCACTCTCATAAAATAGGAGAGATATTATGACCATTCTGTATATTAGGAAGGGGAAATGCCATGTCCAAAGTCACTTAGTAAGCTATAAATCCAAATCTTTTTTTTTTTTTTGGTTTTTCTCCGGTACCGGGAACCGAACTCACGACCTTGCGCTTGCCAGGCAGACGCTTTTGCCACTGAGCTAAATCCCCAGCCCCTTAAATCCAAATCTTAAAAGCTATGTGATCAGTGAAATTTTACTATTCCTAGTAGCTTAAACTTTAAGATTTTTGTGTGCTTTCCTCTCAGGATTAGGACTATTAAACTATATACACATATAGCATTCTTCTTTGTGAGATGATCGTCTTAAGTCTTCAATCTCTGGTTTTTGCTTTAAAAACAAATAATCTATTCCACTTGATTTAAAAATAAAAATGAGACACATACTAGATTTCCATAAATAGAACAAAAAACCATTCACTGCTTAGAGTTTGTCAGTAAACAGGAAACAAGAAAAACTACTTTATTTCCTATTTTTAGTAGGTAATTTAGTGAGATAATCTTGAGCAAGTCTCAAAGTCTGTACCTATTTTACACACTATTTAATGGGCATAAAAACTGTCCTCTATGTTTCATAAGCAGTACAAAATCATTAATTATAAAACGTTTTATATAGTAACTAGTGATACTAGTGTAAGAATTTTTTTTAAATTAGGGCTGGGGATATAGCTTAGTTGCACAGCACCTCCCTGGCAAGCACGAGGTCCTGAGTTCGATTCCAGATACAAAAAAAAAAAAAAAAGCTGGGCGTGGTGGCGCACACATGTAGTCCCAGCCCTCAGGAGGCTAGACAGGAGAATTGTTACAAGTTTAAGACCAGCCTGGGCCACAAAGTGAGCTCAAGGCCAACTTGAACTGCATGTCAAGACCCTCTCTCAAAAAGAGAAAAAATTGTTTTAGATTGGAAAATGTACATTTACTGAAGGACATCCAGAATACACAGAAAAACATTTAGAGATAAATTTGCAGTTGTACCACTTACACATATTTTTTGCCCTATATCATGGATGCTTTCCTCATTTCCTCATTTCATTTCATCTCAAGCAGCATCTTGACCAGGCATTTTTTTTTAAAGCTTTGTTTAGTATCTAGAATATTGTGTTCACATTCAGTAAATTCCTTAAATTTCTTTTACTGACATCCCCTTGGACCATGAATCATAATTATGTTAAGTATTTTACATGTTACACAACCAACCAATTGGTCTGCACAAGTTTCACAGTAAGTTAGTACCAGGATCAAAGGTCAAAATCTCTGATCAATATCCTAACCATGCCAGGACTGTTAGGTCACACCTCTGCTAACCAGACACAACTGTGACAGACTCTTTAAAAATCAACAAAATGAGGTCAGCCTTATTTTAGCCAAAATTCAGTTTCCCATGCTAATCTTTACTATACCTGCTTCTTTTTCTTCCTCTATTGATGTTTAATAAGCAAATTAACAAAGGAAAGCTATGAAAAAGCAAAAGCAAAGCACCTGGATAATTCACAAGCCAGGGAAACCTGACTCTATCTAAGTGCAAGTTAAGTAAATGGACTTCTTTTTACAGTTTAGAAAATAGTTTCTTCAATCATACAGTGAATCTCAATATAACTGAAAAGTACAAAATGAGTGTGCAGAAAAAAAATTTTATAGCCAGAGTTACAAAATGAAAATGAGATGGATAAATTATTCATAAAAAGACAAAGAGGCTGGGTGTGGTGGTACATGCCTGTAATCCCAGCACTTTGGAAACTGAGGCAGGAAGATCCTTGTGAGTTTGAGGCCAGCCTGGGATACACAGCCATTTCAAGGCCAGCCAGAACTGCACAGTGCAACCCTGTCTCAAAAAAAGAGAGACAGAAAAAATATAAAGAGAAATACATTTGTGGAAACTCCATCACTATGACAAAAAGGATCAAAAAAAAAAAAAAATCACAAAGATCTTTCACAAAAGGTAGTCTAGTCACCCACAGAAATTTTTAAGTTGATTAGCTAAAGAGCTACTGAAAATATACAGCAACAGTCCCTACAGATTAGGAAGAAACATACAAAGTGGGTAGACAGAGCACATGAGGAAATGTATTCTGATGTACCATATGAGAGATACTATTTTACATATTTTTAAGAAAACAATTATCTTAATTCTTAACAAATGTTAGGTTCTTGAGCCTTGTTCATTCGGGGATCAATCTTTTCTTTGTGCTTATTCACATTGTATCTATTCAAACTGACTGTAGAGAAAGTCTAATTCATTTTAGTACTAACCTGCACAGCTAACACAGTGCCCTGCCACCAACAGCCATTTAAACAAATCATTTTCAAACTGTGGGCACATAAAAACCACAAGTAAACCTTATAAAAAGGGTAAATCTTCAAGCCTCACACTCCAGAGAGTTCAACTTAGTATATTTGAGTTGGATCTGCTGTTTAATTCAAATATTTAACAAACACTATTAAGCACCTTTTGTGGTAGATCTTATTGAACTCCATTTTACAGGTATATAAAGCAACCTGCTAAAAATTGCACAACTTAAAACACACCAGTCAGGGTAAGTCTAGTTTCCAAGGTTTCTCACTCATTCTTGTATTCACTTATTCAAGATACCTGAATACTTCCCATGGGCTTTTGAAAAGGCAGTATGTTCAGAAACCAAACACCAATTATTTCCATACTCTCAGCTGACAGTTGTATAATGCTCCTGCCTACCAATGCAGTCCTGCCACAGATATCAGAAAAGGTGCAAATTGAGAAGACAAAAGGGATGTTGTGGTTTTATTTCTAGAGAGACAGTAGTAGCATCTCACTATGTAAGGAATGTCTTTTATTCCTTGGACAAAGTTTTTTTCAGCGGGGAACAGTATTTTTTTAAAAGGAGGAAAGGTTTATTTAGCTCATAGTTGTAGAGGTTTCAGTCCATATTGGCTAGCTCCAAGGCAGGGCAGCTTGGCAGACGGGTATCGCAGAGAACAGTCCATGGTGCCTGTAAGGTAGCAAAAGCAACAAGAGATCTTAACAGCATCTTTCTCCTCCCCCAGCCCCATTTTTGAGTGAACACTCTTTTATGTAATTTATTTATTTTTATCTTAAAGAGAATACAAATTTTAAAAACATTAAAAAGATACAGAAATTCAAAACAAGATGATAGGAAATCAACAATGGTTGTTATATTGCATATTGTTATCCTCAAAGTACTTGTTCAGATTACCAGATATAAGCATAAAATAGTATTTTAAAAGATGCCTTTCTCGCGTCTTTTCATGTGTAGTGGCTTACTCAGGCATCTTTTAGCTGTTCGGAAAACCCATCTAGCTCTTTTAAATCTATATTTGGTAACCCTTACCAAAGTAAACTAAAGTTCAAACATTTTCAGTTGAAAAGATCCTGATGCTCATTTTAATTTTTCTATTCAATCTTATTCGTGGAGGGAGGCTTCCTACTATTTCTGCATTTAAACAGGGATTTAAACTTATATTCCGTTGATTTCATAAGATTATGAGTAAATTACCTGTTTAAGATGAATCGAGTGCTGTCCTAGTAGCACACATTCATCAGATTTGTGAGGTTTAAGAACAGACAAGATCTGATATATGTAAGAAAATATAACACAAGAGAATTAGATTGTGTGTATAATTTCACATTAGTATAAATAACTGGACAAGTAAATTATACACATTCCAGTTAGAGATCCTTTTTCCAGGTCATAAAGCAAACATTACTTTCAAACTTGAGAAATTCAGCAGGAAGAATGTTTTGTTCCAGACTCTTTCAAGCACCCCTATGGTCTTTAGCCATAGCAACAGAAATCATTTCTAGTGCCAACACCTATAAATTGTCATTCTGTTTAAGTGCCTTACAGCAGTTAAAACTGTTCCTTGTTATAAAGGAGCAGCTCAGTAGACAATCTATGGCTTTCATATGCTCCTCGTTCTATGCTATCAGGGCATACTAGTCATTAGTAATCAGATTCACTGAGAACAAAGGTAGAGAAAGTGGCATGCTGGCAACCCAGACCAATTCCAGCTAATTGACTCAGTTTGTTTAGAGTTTCCGTATCATCTTAGTTAATCATATGCCCTGGAATATATTTGTTCAGAAGTTTAGGCAGAGACAATTCTTAGGAAAACAGACCAAATCAAGCCTTGGGGATCTAAGAGGAAGAAAAACTTAACTAGGAAATACTTTGCGTTTCTCAAGTGAACTAGCTCAAGCAACACTCTTTCTGAAAGATGTTTTCTTTTACCCAGAATCATGCTCAGTGTTTTTGGAGCAGCTATAATTTACCAGGGGTTAGAGATTACATTTCACCTATGTCAACACACTGCATTTTTTTCAAAGGAAGAAGTTCTCATTTATTTCTACTGGGTTTCTAAGGAGACTTCGTAAAAAAAGCAGAAATCTAAGTCAAGAAAGCAGTTTTATTACAAATGAAGCTTCCTTATAAACAATTTTTTAAAAACATTTAGAAAAGATATTATAATCTTTTCAACTTCTTCACTGATACAAGCTGCACAACTTGACTATGCATTGTGTCACCTAATTTACATGATGTCATTTATTCTTCATCAAGACACAACAAGGACAGGCACTATCTTGTCCTTGTAGATAAGGTAATTATAAAGCAACTTTTCCAAGGTTACAAAGCTAGCAGTGACAGAAATGGTATTTGCATTCAAGTCTATCTAGTTTGGAAGATGCTCAAGAGGTCCTAACTTTGTAAGCCACCACATTATTAGGTGGCAGACAAACAAGGAACCATGAATGTAGCACAGCACTTAGTTTTAATACCATAGTTCATCAGATGTTGAGTACATTTTCCTCCCTAACACCAACCCACAGCCCCATCCTTTCACAGAATGTCTTAAGTGCTAGATCCTGAAAACTTCTCCCTAAATCCTTTAAGGATCTAATCTTTCTGTTCTCCTTGTTTCACTTAAATAATTCTATTTACTCCAGGTGATTCTGATGCAGGGGAGGAAGAACTATTGTATTTGAAGAAACACTACTCCAACTGCTGTTTGTAACACTGAACTGGAATTATGTTCTAAAGAGGCAAGGACAAAATGAATTTGTACTCTGTTCTAAACCATTTTTATAACTTTATGTATCTTACAGTGTATCTCTAACTTTCCTTCTATAAAGACTTGGTTGCACATTAATCTTATTTTTAGGTACTGACGGATATCTGATTCAGTGTTTATTATATCACCCCAAAGTAAAAAAAACACCTCCCTCTGCCTTACTTCCCTATTTGCAAAGTGATACCGTAATCAGCTCTTTAATAGTTAGCTAGGAAGATACATAAATGAATCCATTTCAGACCAAGTAACATAATCTTCTCTAATATCCTAAAGAAGTAAAACTTCTTAAAAATTCAAATTGCTATTAAGAGTTTTTAAAAATCTAGTTTAAAAAAAAAGCCTTCTGTTTTAAGTTAATTGGGGGTAAATCCTCCAAACTAGATCTAATTCCCCAAATATGTCCTTCTCCCTCAAAATAAATCTTTTGACAAGAATCACAATATAAGTATAAACTGTTCTGACTGATTACAAAAAAAAAAAAGTGAAATTCTTTTAACCACGGTGGGGGTGTTTCTCAAGTAACTACATCCTAAAGGCCTGGAAGTAGTACATTCTACTTAGTTCCACCTCAACTACAAAACTGAGAAGGATAGAAAAACACAAGAAAGGAAAAGAAACAGTTTGAGTTGACCATGAGTAGTTCTGGGAACTTGTATGAGCTACATGAACAAGTACTTAGAAACCCATTACAGACTTACGAAACTCTCCGTGCTTCAAATGATCAGAATGTCCTGAGAATGTGGGGCTATGACCCCCTACTGATGACTTACAGTAATGGCCATTAAAGACATGACTTCTGGACAAAAATAAGACTCATGTCCACAAGTTAAATTAATTGAAACATAAATGTGTCCTCTAAATTCCTAGTCAATCCCAATTTCTCAAGATTAGGACTTTTCTAAACATTAGGCCAATCAACATGACTCTCAAAATACAAACTATGGCCCATGACAGGTGCTGAGACCATCTCAAACATGATTTCAATTCTCATCTTTGGAAAGGATCAAAAAATATTTGGGAGGGGTGGAGGAAGGAACACTTCACAGCCTGTGTCACACTTTCACTGGCCCGCTAAGAAAACAGAGCCTAGAAAAATGTTACCATAATATGCTTTGTGAGCCAATATACGATGCGAAATGCAAAAATTTTAAACTATGGTTGGTTTCCACATTCTGGAAAAAATAGTGCATCCTTTCAGGACGGATACAATAGAGGTAGTAGAGGAAGGATTTTGCCAGTACTCTGGGGTGGTCCCCTTGGTGATGGCTTTATTTAAGCACTGGGCTTTACTCAAGCACTGGAGAGAACTTTGGTGGCTTGATCAGTCACAGGGTCAACTTCACAGTTCACTTTTGGCCATCATCCAACACTCATTCCTTACCAGGACTGCCTTATAGCCAGATGTAAAGACTCACCAATAACTGGTACCTCTGCACAGACCATCACTCAAATGTGGTCAGTCGCTGTTAAAACCCATACTATGAAACTGGGTCAAATTTTAATGAGGGGAGCAATTTGGGCACCAGTTTTTATGATGGATTCATACAGCTCCAATATCTTTCACGACTTGATATGTACACAGTTCTACATAGGAGCTACAACTTAATTTGAATACAACTTTAAAGTGCTTTTAACCACTCAGAAAAAACAATCTTGACTTTTATAATCAATCTCCTGAGATTCCCAATAGACATGGATAAATTTAATTTTGAAAGAAAAATTAATATACAGTACATGTTATCTGCCTATTATTTGCAATGAAAATGAGAAAAACAAAACAAAACAAAAAAAAACCAAATTTCTGTCAGCCTTAAACATTTCCCATAAAGGACAAGTTAGAAAATGTTCCAATGCCCTTATAGAATCAGTTAATAACACCATTAATGTCATCTGATTTTTATATTACCTGATAATTTAAATAGTTATCAAGGCTTTAATTTTCTACCCAAAAAAACGTAGCTCTTGATTCCACATTCTGAAAAGGAAATATGTAAGACTGGAACATCTTATTCCTGAAAACAAGTAAGCTATCAATAACCAAAAGGATACAGAAGCCAATATGAAGTGGCTCTCGTTAGCCAAAAATCACACGATTTGGACATAAAAAAACTGTGACAACGGATTAAAGCACAAGTGTATAAAAAACTCATGACTTACCTCTTGAGGTTGTCAGATGGTAAAACTGGTAAATGTAACAATCAACATGATCTATCTTGTATTTTAAGAAAACCACAGTTGATTAAAGTTTTTTAAAAGCTTTAAATACTAAAGTTAAACGAATGATAGAATTAGAAATACCACTGTGCAATACCTCATGAGGTAATGGATGATCATCATTTGCTAAACCCATTATAGAAGACTAACAAAGAACTGCACAATCAAGCTAATATCTGAACCTACTAATCAATCTTAGTATCTTTAAAAGTAAAACTAGACACTATATGCCATCTGGTGTGATTCAGGAGGAAGTACACACCCAGCTTTTTTATTTCAAAGAAAAAAGACAAAATAGAACAAAAAACAAAATTCCAATACAATATGATGGGGGGGCAATGATTAATATGTGGCGATTGCATATTGTTATCTTTAAATTAGTTATTTGAGCACAAGATCAGTGTTTAATTGTCCAAACAATATTAGCAAGAACCTAACTTTTCAATGAACGGAGAAATTAGTAGTGTAACTATTTTAACTAATATATATATATATACACACACATATATATGCATATCTTTCCTTTGCTTTTCCCTTCTTTTCCCCATTCCCCCAGCCCACTGTCTCTTTCAAGTTTCTTCCCATTATTCAGTATCTATTATACATTTTGGATCTTATTTATTCTTTCAGCTTCTCACACCACACCCAGTTATTGAATCTAAACTTCTACATCTAACAACTCAGAAAAAGTAGACGATGGGACATGTTAACACCATAAAGATATAATCAGTCAAACTTAGAATGCAGGAAATTCTATAGAACAAATTATTTATTTTCATTAAACAGTGGCATAAAACGGCAGGATAAATTATAGGGTCAAAAAGATCTCATTTAGACCTTTGTTAGAATAAACCAGCAGAAAAAAGACAAGTATCAGGGATACATTTGAACACAACGTACTATACGATACATACAGCAGCCATGAGAATAGACTACAGATATCCAACCTCAGGGTGTGCAAATTTACTCAGTTGCTGTGGTCTGAATTTACCACCAGTACTTTCAGCTAAGCTACACTGCCTAGTGCCTATTTGGAGCCAACAAATGAACACAGCCTGAATACAACGGCAGGTCCAGTCTTGCAAGACATGCAGCTACTCAAGAAACAGGCACCTTTGGCTGGAGCACTCATTAGCTTTGCTAAAATTGTTTTAAAACCTTCTCTGTGGACTCAGACTTCCTGCCCAACCATTTGTTCTTCCTCAGAAGAGTTAGCCCTATACTAATTTCTGACAATTCTTTCTACCTTTTCTAGCTCCCTCTCCAACTTTCTTCAAAAAACTTGCCCAGTGAATCTTTTGGGAGTCCTGCTTCCTAGAGAACCCCAATTAAAGAAATTATTGAGGACTTATTGTTAATTTTCTTAGGCACAATGTGGTTATTTTTTAAATCCTCCCTATGAGGGATGCATACTAAATTACTCACAGGTGAAATCATAGGATTACAATTAACTTTTAAAAACCCTGGCCAAAAGGGGGAATAGACTGAGTACCACCGTCAAGGTAGTGGTAATTATTTTCTGTATTTTTGTGTGTGTCTGAAAAGTCCATAGGAACATGTGAAAAACACCTAACCAATATAGAAAACTGTGAACAGCATCAAACCCAAGATGTCATAGGGAAGAGGATCAAAAGAAGACCTAACAACTAAGTGTAATTATAACAGAAACCTAGACTAGATCCTGTAACAGAAAAAGAACATGAGGGAAAAACTGTGGAAATATAAATAAAATATGGATTTTTAAATTATCCGTCAGGAATGGTGGCACATACCTGCAATGCCTGCACTTTGGGATGCCGAGGAAGGAAGATTTTGTGAGCTTCAGCGAAGCGAGGGCAATTTAGTTAAGATCTCTTTCAAAAAAATAAAAAGGGCTGGGTCCATAGCTCAGTATAAAAGCCCTAGGTTCACTCCCCAGTACTGCTGTCAATCAAGTAACATCAATATTGATTCATCAATTGTAGAAAATGTGTAATATTATGTTAATAAGGGAAATGGTATAAAGGCGTAATTCTGTAACTTTAAAACTGTTCTAATGCTTTAAAAAATGTTTCAAAGAAGTTTATTTGTGTCATACATAAAAAATCCTGAATCAAGTCTTTTAAATTTTTACTCACTGGGACGCAACTTGTGGACTCTTTCCCACTGATCCATTAGCTAGAAAGTGCCATTCATTTTTCTGAGCTCAAAGAGGAATTTTGAGGACTGAGACTCTTCATAGACTGTCCCATAGCATCTAAACACGTAAACAGAAAACCCTGCAACTGATGAACCATAATTTGTTCCAATCAAGTCTAAAATTTGATAAAAAGAATATTGTTGGCACTTTATTATTACCAAAATCCTTCAAGCAATAACAGAGATGAACCTTAATATGGAACAAAGATTTCATTCCAGTGTCCTGGATTTGAAAATCTGTTTCAGCTCCAATAATTCAGTTCCAGCAGAGGTTATATCAAGCTGCCAACATCCATGCTTCTGGTTTTACTGATACCACCTTTTGTAATGAGAAGACCAGGCTTTTTGTTTTAAAGCAAGTTCGTATTATTTAAACAATGATACAATGTTCAAAAGATCTTCATTTTTAAAAAAGGGCACTCAACTATCCATGATGGCACACACCTATAACCCTAACACACTTGTAAGACTGAGGCAAAAGGATCCTGAGTCTGAGGCTAGCCAGGGCTATTAGACAGTAAGACCCTATCTCAAAAAAATTTTCCAGCAAAAAGAAATAGATTTGAAAAAATGTGAAAGCTCTGACTCATGCCTGAGTTACCTTAAATCTTTATTCCAATGAAGATTGCTGGGCCTCACACTCAGATTCTGACTCAGGTGTTCGCTGGGGCCAAAGAATTTTCTTTTTCTTTTTAAAAACAAGGTCCCACTACATAGTTCAGGCTGGTCTTCAAATCACAGTAATCCTCTTGCTTCAGACTCCTAAGGGCTGGAATTACAGGTTTGTGCCACAATGCCTGGTTAGAATTTCTAAGAGGTAATCTAAGTGAAGATAATACTAATTAGTAGTGTAGGAAACACACTTTTGAGAACCACTGCAAATGTTTAGTTGAATAATGATTATTCCACACAAAAGTGACTGTGTTTCAGAACAAGGCACAAAGTTTTGCAGTCAAACAGACTAGCTCTGGGACATTGGGCAAATTACCCTCCCAATCTGTACAATCCAAGGGTATTTAAATAATAAGACAATATATAAATCACCTAGCATACTGCCTGCATCTGTGTGGCACATATAGGTACTAACTTAGTAATTACTTTATGCTATACTAAACTTATACTTAGGGCCAGAGATGTAGCTCAGTGGTACAGCAACTGCCTGGCAAATGTGAGGCTCTGAGTTCGATTCACAGTACCAAGAAAACAAAACAAAAAACCCTCCTAAAGTTATACTCAAACTGTTACCCGAGTGCTCAATCTAAAGTGTATTATTCATCCCAACAAGGTTATAAGAGACATTTACAAACCTATGATTACAAATTAGCATTTCCAAAGTGTGTGTTTATTCATTCCATCAAAATACGAACTAAGCTGGGTGTGCTGGTACACACCTGTAATCCCAGTACCCATGAGGCTGAGGCAGGAAGATCACTGAGAATTTGAGGTCACCCTCGGCTAGTGGAGTTCAAGGCCACTCTGGACTAGTGAAACCTTGTCTCAAAAACAAAAACAAAAATAAATCACTGACTTAGATCATAGTATGAACATGACTTGAATAATTTTTATGATCTTTAGCTAATGAGGGTGTTTATTTCCCTAAGCTATGAAACTGTCAATCTGCTACAGAAAGGTAATAAACTTTAATTCTCAGTATTACCATATGAATGCATTATCAGCAGTGATTTACTGCTTCTTCAGTATGGATTTCCTATACATCTGACAGCACAGTTTATACTTTTGCACAACAACAATAACTCAAATATCTATTCATAATTTGCTTCAATAAAGCTGAAATGTCCACTAATAACATTATCCTTGGTTAACCACATAAGCAGTTCACATTTAAAGGAATGTAAATATTACTTTGGATACACATTTGCAATACAGTGCAAAGAATGCAACTTTGGTGTCCTATAGTATGTACATAAACAAGGATAGAAACTGACATGGTATAGATTCAGACAATAAAGTGAATAACAACGTATTTTAACACAAAAAATATAATACAATCAAAATTCTTGTTTTTCATGAGCACAAAGTTCAGCGCTCACTTTAGCAACACATATATTAAGTTAAAAGTTCACACTATTTTTTTTTTCTGAGGCAGAATACTGCTATGTAGTTCAGGTTGGCCTTGGTCTCACTACATAGCCCAGTCACCTTGAACTCAACAATCCTCCTGCCTCGGCCTCCCAAATGCTGAAATTACAGGTATAGGCCATCACATCCAGCTCAACTGACCTCTCTTAATCAGCTCAAATTACCTGACACAAATTTTTTCCCTTATTTAAAAGCATTAGAATACCTAGGGAAGTATGTCAGTGGCAGGACACTTACCTAGCATGCTCGAGGACCTAGGTTCAATCCCTAGAAACAGACACACATGCACACATCACATGTTAGGGTTCACAGAAGTTTTTTGAAAATGCGAGTAAAATTATGTATCTGGTCCAGGATTAACCAAGTTTCACTTTCTAGCTTCCTTCTATCTGGTTAGACATAAATAAAATCAAAAGTAGATTATAACCAGTACTATCTCCCCTCTCTTTAACATGAAGATCCAACATTATATTTTTTTTCAAGGTGATCTAAAATATAACCTTCTGGGCCAGGGATACAGCTCAGCGGCATAAGTGCTTGCCTGGCAAGCCTGAGGTCATGAGTTCAATTCTCGATACCAAAAATAAAATAAAATAAAATATAACCTTCTGTGAAAATGAACAGAGATTAGGAGGGTAAGCTGCTAATAATATGCATGCATCCATGTACAAACACAGAGTGAACCTAGAAGGAAAAAACAGTGATCTAACCAAGTCTATGATAAAGAGTTCCAGCTTTAATGAAAATATGGAAATTTTACCACTCTTTTTTCCAATTGGCTTCCTTCATATGCAGGGATACTAAACAGACTGACAAGGAGGCGCATTTACTTGTTAGCCATCACTGAGGTGAACTTACAATTCTAGAAGTAAAAGAGATCAGTCTGTGCAGGTGTGCGAAGAATGACACATCAGACAAAAGATTATATAAGCCACCTGCTTTAAAACACTGTATTTTTCTATTTCTAGACCCTTGGTTATGTTTTCAAATTATGAAGGATCTGAAATTCTTTAAACACCATCAGATATAGTTGGCAATAATTCCAACTTTAAATGAAATTATTCGAATAGTTTTTAAAATAATGAATCAAAATTTTCAGTCTGGTTGAACGTATGCACAGTGCTTTAATTATTCCACAAGGCCCACCATTAGTGTATTCAGACCTTAACATTGTATTATTGTTTCCTATCACTTCTCGGCCTTTTAGCTAAGATCAAGTGTGTATTATTGTTTCTTCAAATATTATTCCTTTCATAATAACATATCAAATAAAGATTTTAAAAGTGTTACATACTGTTTCAGTGTGAAGCACAAAAGCCAATTAGATTATCATCACCCTTTAATTTCAGAAGTAAAATTCATGGACTAGATTTCACCAATAGTACATGGAAGGAAAAAACAAAACAGTATTGAAAAATAAATGAAAACTTACGTTTTATTGAGTGTTTATTTTTTACATGCCAAGCATATTAAAAGTGAATCCATATGAAGATGACTATTCCACAACCAATATCTATGCAATGGGAATGATTTCCACACAATACTAATAAGTTCAATAAATTATCCAGATGTTTCTTCCACAAATATTTGGGTTATCTGAATGAGCTCATTTTTCAACAAAACAGTAAGTTTTAGGTTTCATATTTAGGTTTTAGGTTTCAGTTTTAGGTCTTTGCTGGTAGCAAAGCTACTTAAATTTAGAAAACTAAATCCATGAAAATAAAAACTCCACACAGCATAGCCAATCTTTAAAAAAACAAATTCACCAAAATGTAACATACACCTCATCAGGTATCCAGAAGGGAAAACAAAACACAGGTACTTAATCAATGTCCATCAAGTGATCATCACTAACATGGTGTTATTACCAGAGAAACTGCCAGTATATAAACTTTAGATTAGAAGAGGCTTCAATATCTTAAAAAACAACCAGTAATTAATAATGCATACGGAAATGCTAATTTGACACGTGAGCATCACAAACAGCCCGATGCATCCGATACACACTGAATTGTTACATCACTACCGCTACAAATCCTTAGTGTTCTTTTCTTATTGACTAGTTATCTTTAAAAACATGGTAAAGTGTCGTCCTAACATACATCACAGTTCCCTCCTTCCACTGTTCAGTCAATGTTGCAGCAAACTAAACATACCTGTTAACTAGATCTAAAATACAATGGCTGGATAAGTAATACAAAAAGGTACTTTTGAGGGAACTATCCAGATTAGGTAGGCTAATGACAACCACTGCATTTTGTGCTATTGTACACTGCTAAATGGAAGCACTGATCCATGCGCATTTGTTTGAAACTTCTGTAATACCTGTAACAGTATACCCACATGGTTAATAAATACTTGCTGAAATAGGTATGAAAATTTAATATAACCCCCATATACATACTGTCACATACATACAATTATGCAGGGGGTGAGGGTATGAATTTATATGCTATGAGATTTAGTTAAGAAAAATAGGAAACGATATGGGCTCAGGTTTCCTTAGAAGGTTCAAGTCTTTAAACAGAATTAAACAACCAACCTCTACACATCAAGAGAAACTGAATAGTATGGGGAGGAGGTGCCTTTGTATATGTGCTTGAGTTTAATGGAACAAAATACTAGTTCTCAGGTAAGTAATTTATATTAAAATTCTCCTCAATGGGATGTACTCTATAAGCACAGTTCTAATGCAAACAAAGTCAAGCTTTACTGTTATACATGAGAATTGGTACACATACAAAATGAACATGTGTAACACTAGTTTTAACTTACTATTTTAATGTTCTGATTCTTGAATACCAATTCACTCTCATTTAATGTATTCTTCTAATGAAAAGCTGGTGCCTTTGGTTCCCACATGAAACCAAATGAAAATATGTGCCTTAGTCTTGGAAAAAGTTAACAAAATCATGAATAAACACCAACACTACATGTAATTTACTACTCAATGATTCACAAATTATAAAATTTAACTAAGAAAAATGACTACCATTGTACATGTGAAGATTACTTAGCACATCAAGTCAATTATCAGGTCCAGGGTCTTTACTGTTTTGTTGTATGGTGTTGCATGTGTGGATGGTTCTATTACACTGACTTGCATTATTTTAAAAATTAAACGTGGACTCAAAACTTTTACACATTAGTTTCTAATTATGAAAATCCAGATTACTCCAGAAAACACAAACCACATATAACTGAGGTAGGTTTTTCATGTTAAAAAAACATTGCTTCTACAACAATTTTAAAATTGTAAATTTATAAAGGAAAAAAAAATCTACATTGTCTCATGTACTTTCCTGATACTTAATTTTCTATATTTTAAACTACTTGAACAAATGGGATAGTGATACAATGATTTAGTAAATTCCTCAGATTACTTAAAAATACACATCCCCAATACCTTCTCTTCCTTTCTAATAACAATATTACAACAGGTTATTAATAATCCTAGAAAAAGGCCAGGGACATAGCTCACGTGGCACAGCACCTGCCTGGCAAGCACAAGGTCCTGAGTTTGATTCCCAGCACAAAAAAAATTTTAGAAAAAAAACTGATAAAGAATATTACAGTAATTTTCTAGTTAATTCATTTCAGAATGGGGAGGCAAGTCACGTTCATTTTAAATATAGTAATTTTAAACGTCATGAATACAACTGCGAATATGTTTTATTATGTTACAAATTCCCACAAGATGTAAGAAATAATATTAATAGGACTAAATGTCACAAATATTTCTACTTTATTGTAATGTCAGCTAAGTTTTCTAGGGTGTCATCTTTTAAAAAACTCATTTTTAATAAACTTTAAAGGGAAATTATAGCAGATAATACTCCACTTTTCAACAGTCAGTGAAAAAAATCTATGTGAAATAAATTTACATTTTAAGGAGGTAGAGGAGACTGATATAAATTCTTTCCTTCAATTGTGAAGCTCCTATATTTGCTGCTGGTATCACTATATTAAAAAAGCAAAACCACTGCTTGAAATATTCTCAATAAACCAAACACAGGGAAAAAATTATAAAACTCAGTCTTTACAAGTGTTCATAACTGACATAATTTTTAAAAGTAAAATTTTTTTTATCTACATATGAATTAAACAGAAAATTTAAACTAATTTTTTAACTGAAAAAAAAAACCACGAATTTTAGGATTGGATATTGATGGCATTTTCAAACATATACAGAGTAAATGAGGAAATAGGTAACAGGGACATTTCTGCCACACACATAGGATGACTAAAATGAGATGAATACCCGACAGCCAATGCCCTGAGCCTGGCATACTACCTTGATCTGTAGGCAGCAATTCACTGTTCTTGCACTGGGTAAAAGCCTCAAAGAAAGCCCTCATGCAGTAATTCTATAATCTAAAATTAAACTTTCTATGAGATATAGAGATGATACTAATTATTAAACTGAAATGGGAAAATGGGGTAGCTAACATTGTCAATTCTGGGGTCATCAATAGAAAACACAAAGGTAAAGAGGCAAAGTAGCTAATTCCGAAACTAAATTATATGACCAGAACTATCATTAAAGGTGATGATTTTTTAAAATTCTTGAGTTTAGGTGCCCAAGCTAAACCTATTCAGCAGATACAGCAGGGGATTCTTATCAAGTTCCTCAAATTACCGTTTTGTTGTTGTTGTCGTCATCTTTGGTGTGTGTGTGTGTGTGTGTGTGTGGTGTTGGGGATCAAACTCAGGGCCTTGTGCATGAAAGGCAAGAACTCTACCACGGAGCCACATCCCAGCCCCATTCAAATGATTCTGACAATGGGCCAATTTTGAAACTTTTCAAGTCGGATCAAGGGGAAAACAACTAGTCTTAAGCGAATGTAGATATTTTTGGAATTTAATGTCTAATGTTTAGTACTATTCCACATTTTCCCCTACTTGTCCTACCTTCCATATTTTTCTAACAGTGAATGAATGAACGAACGAATGAATGAGCTTTGCAAGTGCAAGATAAAGGAGTCAGCAGGGAACTCCAATTGGATTTTACTATAGTCAAGCCACTCCCATACACTGACCCATTCACTGATATCACTACTGCTACCTAAGATTCACTATCAGGCAGAAATTTCTTAATCTCAAGGGATTAAGGGAGGGATAGGTTCTTATTCAACAGGAAAACATAATACAATATCACCCTACGTACTAAGGACATTTAATAGAAGAGAACATTTTTGTAATTCTTCAAAAATCATTGTTTTTAAAGGTTCAGTGTTAGGAAGAAAAATCCCGTATAATTGGGATAGGGGGATATTCTCTCATATGAGAAAAACTGTGTCACAGTGTTTCTCTGACTTAGAAATCAGGTGACATTATTGCAGTACTATTTTTGCTTTCATATTGCTTTGTTAATATATACATATAAATGTTTTACGTGTATTTTGGTTAAGAATTTAATGCATATGATAATACAAAAATGGATTTTCTTCTTAATCACTGACATTGTACCACTTTCAAGGCCTAAGAATAATCTTTTAAATATCCCATATGTGCTAATAAATTTTAGAACAGTAAAAAAGTAGTACCTACATAAGAAATTATACATTAAAATTACAACTGTATTTTTCAGAAGTTAAGAGTAATTGAAAATTTTTTCAGTATTCAAACACAATAGTAAATTTCCATTTACTATAGCGCAATTCAAGTATTTGCTTAAATTTATATTTAGCCAGCTAGAACATATTAAGTAACTTTTTATAATAGCTTTCCTTTAAAAGATTACTGTTATACAAAATAGTGCGATTACTACTTATTACTATAAATCACTTAGAATAAGTGTAAGGAACAAATGACAGTAGACATGGATCTTTATGAGTAAGTCTTCAACATATAAAGCTGCACACATTGGTAAGAAGGCATTTATAGGTAATCCCCACAGAGTATTAAAATTCACGTAAACAAAGACTATATATAGCTTTTCAGGGAGAAAATGCATTAACACAGATAAAATGCACTCAAACAGCTGTGACTTTACACCATATATTATTTGAACACCACACAAAACCAATAGAGGCATTACCTATCATTTTAATAACTAAAAGGTGTTACTTATTTGTGAAATAAAAGGTTTGATACTTTTTTCAAAGTAATAACGAAAAAAATTTTCAAAATAAACACCATCCTTTTTCTAGAAATAAATATACATAGTTACTTTAATGTACTGCAGCATAGGAATATTATCCTAGCATTAACCATAACACTCAATCAGTAGTTTTAAAAACTTTTTTTTCCACATCAGGTCTTGAATCTTCTACCTTGTCAGCTGCCCAACAACTTTCAAAAGGGTTTTATTTTCCTGCTTTAGCTGTTCATTTTCATCTTCTATGTCATCTAGATCCTTAAAGGGGGAAAAAAGGAAAACAATACTTTAAAAATATTCTAAAGGAGAAAAAAAACTTTAAAAATACACTTAAAGAAAATTCTCCTTATCAATTAATTTTGAAATGAGGATAAGCTCTCAAAATAACTTCAGATGGAATATGTCCCACTTAAGTGAACAGCTATTAGTTGACTCTTCATTATTATGACAAAACATACAGACAATTCTTGTCTAATCTTTCAGGTTTTCAAGAAACATTAGGAATCTTGCCATTTTTAATCATCATAAACAACAATTTTGTTTTGGAAAAACAAATTTCACTCCCCCTCCTCAAAACTGAGAGGTAAACAGAGCACACATGCAGGCCGTATACAGGTTCTAATTTTGTGTCAAAAAATACAGATGCAAGTTCTGGATATACTCCTACTACTCTGTGTGATCCTCAAAGGAGTGCATCTGGGGATGAGACGGGCAAGATGACAGAACTGAGCCATCCACAAAAGGGGCTCTAGGATACACAGAACTGACCTAGTTCAAAGTATACGTTAAGCTTGTTCATGACATTTTGTTTGAGGGAAAGATTTTAAAGCTAAAAATACCCTGGAAACCATTAATGTAGATATTCAGTCTCCAGCTCTAGCGTATATGACCTAGCTTTAGTATGCAACTGTCTAGTTAATACTAAGATAATCCACTATCAGTTTCAGTTATGAGAAACATTATTTCAAGGCAAACTCTAACTATTTACAAAATCAGGTATTTACAGATATCTGATATTTCAATATTGCAGTTTACAATATTGAAACTGGAGACAATAAATTTGAACCACAAATGTGCTGTAAAAGCAATCTAGTAAATTCAGTACAAATGATGTAAAAGTTCACAAAAATCAGAATTTGCATTTATTTACAAACTAAATGATGTTAGGAATTAAATCTGTTGAAACAACTATAAACATAGGAGATTCCTGAAATTACAACTGGCATCTACCTAAAATTTAGAGTTAAGTGATAAAATATATTCATGGATCAGTAGTAGATTAAAAATTTGCTAAGGGAGGGGTTTTACCATGTTTAGGGTTCACAGTGAATCCCACCAATGAAAGGCTACCCAGTAAGTATTTTTTTTTTTTTTTGTGGAACTAGGGATTGAACCTAGGACCTTCACACTGAGTTATCCCCAACGCTTTTGATTATTTTTTACGTTGGGTCTTGCTAAGTCAATTAAGTTGTTCAGGTAGGACTCAAATTTGTATTTCTCCTGCCTCAGTCTCCCAGAAGCCTGGTGTCACAGATGTGTGCTAACTCCCAATTGCTTTTGAGCTTGATCAGAATAGGTCTGCATATAAAAAAGGCTTTTTATCTTTTCTTCCATGATTAGAATTAAGACTGGATTGGAGGATCTGCTTATCTTCCACCCAAAGCAAACTTATTTCTTCCTTCATCTCATGTACAGCCCTCTATAAAGCAAAATTATGGGATCTTTTCTCATTATCATTACCTAAATATGATTTGCTTTTTAAGCACCAAGTAAATTCTAGGGCTGAAAACAAACAAACAGAGCTATAGAAAAGAGTAAGACAGTTTAGGACCTAAACCTAAAGTTAAAAATGTATTCATAGAACAGGAGAAAAAAAATGAAAATACACAAAAGGACATCTTGAGTTCCTTTTGGTGAGAAAGTACCAGTTCTTCACTGAAGCAATTTTGTGTCAATCCCCTTACTCCTCCAGATTCTCAATGAATTCATTCACCAACCCACCTCCAAATGAGTAAAATTAAGTAAAACTGATCACTGCCTCTACGAAATTAGTTTACAGAATAGTTCTCACTGCAAATCACTATCTAACAAAAGAACTAAACAATGCAATTAAATAATTTCTTCACATTGTGTACTTTTATCCAACTGCCTCCCAAAAGGAAGCTTCAGAACTGAAGTGAAATACTTACTCTGCTCAACAAATCAATTTCCTCTTTGAGTTTTCCAATCATTTCCTCTTTATCTTGCATCAGTCGCATAAGTCTTAGGTTTTCTTGTCTTTCTCTCACAACTTCCTGGTAAATATAATTACAAAGCATTACTTGGGAAGGAACTGGTTGTTTATCATCTTCTTACATGGCACACAACTCTAGGTAACAGTGACATACGCCCAACACTGCTATAGTACCTAACATAATCAGTCAAGGTCCATTACTCTATATTTTGACATTGAAAGCATCATTGTCAGAATGGTATTTTTAAAAAATAGATTCTATATAATTTTTAAAATAACAAAATTTAAAATATCTGTAAGTTAGAAAAAGCCAAATTTCAAGCTTTTCACTCTCCTTTAAAAAGACCCCTTTCACTGGCAGAGTAGTGCACACCTGCAGTCACAACGACTAGGGAGCACAAAGCAGGAATATCACCTGAGCCCCCACGTTTGAGGCTGGCCTGGGCAACAAGCAGACTCTGTCTCAGGAAAAACAACAGAGCATACAAACTCTCTTAGATATATGAAGCTTCTAGTGAATTTCTTAAGACGTCACTTGAGAAGGTCAACAAGCCATACCACTAATGCATTCATTGAAGAATGAGAGAAACACAAGTGTTATAAAAATATGTCCCTGATTAAATTCATATTTACACAAGTCTTTAACATTTACTAAGAGATCCAATGACTTATTTATATCAGTACCATATGTTATAAACTAGCTTTTTAAAAAAATGTCTTGTTTGAAGAAATTTGAAAATATACTGAAAGTACAAAGTTTAAGGGTTAGGGATACGGCTCAGTGGTTTCAATGGAAAATTCTAAAGCGAAAAAACAATGATCCTTAATTTTATTTCTGACTCTGCCAGTTAACTGACAACTAATAAAAAGAAGAAGCTAAAAGCGATCATTTTTTGATATTTGAAGTTTTTTTTAAGCAATGCAACAGCACAGGCTGGACTGCAACTCAGCGTTTGAGTGCTTGCCTAGCATTCAAGGGCCCTGGGTTTGATCCTCAGCACCGCAACATCCCCCTACTCCCACTCCTTCAAAAGGTGACACTATTCTTTAAAAAAAAAAAAATCTTATTTAGAACTCAGGCAGTGTACTGGGCAGGCCACCCTGGGGTCAACAGGGAGAAAGAGCTGTGAAGGCCTAGGTCAGGCCTTGGCTTCTCTCCTACCAGCCCTAAGAGAAGCTGTGAGCTACTAGCAATTCAATCCTAGCTCTTCTTAAAGTACAGAAGCCCAGAACTCCCTTGAAAACCATTCATCTGTGTGTATGCTACAATTTTCAATTTAAATCCATAAAATAATGGTTCCAAGTAGAAATGAGTGTCAAAGCTTAGGTGTGACCCCAAAATAATCATAATGTAAAAATAAACAATTTTTTAAATTAACCTCTACTTAAAACAACCTTATGTCACAGGGAATTATTTCAATTTGGTAAAATGAAACATTTCTAACAAAATATTTCAGTTCCATTATCAATTTTAGAAGCTGAATGTCTAGGGAATAAACCTGAGCCTAATATTCATTTCAATTATTCTCAAAAATACTTCTAAATAAGTTTACAATTAATGAAAACTATTTCAAACACCAAATTCAGACTGAACTCAGAATCAGTGGAAAGTCTATGAATAAAAATTGATGCAGACTATAAAGTAAACACACAGTCATACACACTGCCAGCCCAGCTTTCTAAACACTTCAAAGAGAAAGACTGTTCAATATAAAAAGATAACATTTGGCAGAAAAGGAATCTCCATTAAATACTAATACAAAAATTTGCTCCATTCCTAAAATTTTAAACATCATGAAAAGTGGACAGAAAAATAGTAAGTTAATCAGGAAATATCTAGTCACTACATATCTACAAACTAAATATATAAGACAATGATTAAAAGCTGCTATATGCCTATATATGGAAACACCATTTAACACTACTACATTCCATTAGGGCCCTCTTCTTTTCCTTTTATTTGCAATACCTCTTCTCTACAAATACTTATTTTCTTTTTCACTCAGCTACTATGCAACTGAAAGGAGGATTCTGATATGTTCTTTTTTATCAATCTTAAGTAATTCATAATTCATACCTTTTCAAGATCTTCAATTTTCTTTTCCAATGTGCTACTTGAGACCAGATTACCTGCAATGTTTGTATCTCTATTATATCTACCAAACCCACTTCTGTCTGTCCGGGGATATCGAGTTGAGACATCATCTTCAGAGGCAGTGGTTGTGCTACAGAAATGAAGACACATATTTTATAAAGTTCCCTAGTACTCTACAAGAAAAAAATCAAGCATATTTTCTATGCAGCTTAAACAACATTTCTAAAGGACATACAGTTATAAGGTAACCTATTTACAACTGTAGAAATTAACCGTTATTCCAACACAATGAAAAAAATGTAAAAGAACACTAATTCTTCAACCAATATTTACAGAGTATCTGTTAAGTACCAGACACTGTTCTGGGTATTGAAGATGTTAACAGTAAACACAAACCAAGACTTTGGTTTGGTCTAAAGAGCTTTCTGTTTCACAAGGAAGACAATCAATTGTAATACAGCAATATGATCATCACAATCAGATCACTGTAAAGTACAGTAAGAATTACAATAGAGATCTTCTAGACCAGTGATGGCAAACCTTTTAGAGCTTTCAGTAACAACCCACTGTAGTGTGTGTGCCCCAGGTTCACCAAAACTGTCCTCGATGATCCATGGGAAGAACTATCTGATCTTCCTTTTTCATCTTAAAAATCTCTCATGACTAATGCTTATGCAAAATAAAAATTTAAAAACTGAACTTCTGTAAAATAAAAGTAAAAAAAATACAAAATTTAAATCAAAATGTTTAGATTTAAACCCCCAAAGTAATAAATATAATTAGGATTGGAAAAAAAATTCTAGAAAGTTGCATAATTTTCCTTGAAAGTATGCACATAGGTAACATAAAATTATTTTCAGTAATATTTACCATTTCACACTTTCAACTAAACCAATAGTTGAGTAAAAAGCTACTCCTCAAACATCAATTTATACATTCTGAATTAACAGCACATGTCCATATTTTAAATTTTTAATGTAACAAATGAATTTGCTGCTTCTTTGCTATAATATCTGTAACAACATACAAACTACCCCAAAAGTTAGTGGCTGAAAACAACACACATTCATTATCTCAAAATTTCTGTTGGTAAAGAGTTTAGAAGTAACTTAGCTGGATAGTTATGATGTAGGTTTTCAGAAGTCAAGATGTCAGTTAGTGCTACAGTACTCTGAAAGCTTGACCAGGTTGAAGAATGTGCTTCTAAACTCACTTATGTAGTTGATGGCAAAAGTACTCAGTTCTTTGCTGCTTGTTGGCCAGAGGCCTCAATTTCTCCCTATGAGGACCCTTGCACTGGGCTGGAACTAGTTGCCAGAGAGAAAGTGACAGAGTAATCAAGACAGAAGCAGTAGTGTCTGTTATAACCCAGTCTCATAAGTACCACACTATCAAAGAGCTACCTTATTCCATCGGCCATATATCCCTGGTACAATGAGACAGGGGAATTACAGAAGATATAAATACCAGGAGGCAGGCTCACTGAGAGCTATTTTAGAGGCTTGCTACCAAACCTGTTAATTTATCTAATCTAGGTTGGACTAATGACAATGCTACTCACAAAGGATAAATGTATATCTCATTTTTTGTAAGAGTAGGAAATATAATATTTATTGAGAGAAAAGCTTCTAAGAGAGACAGAAGGGGTCCCAAGTAGGTGACCCTATATATCTCAGTTCTATGTTTTGTTTTAATAGCACTCAGAGAAAACAGTCACAATACTATATTGACAGGAGTAAGGGGAGAGATTTTCAGGTAATTTCCCATTATTTTTAAATGAGATCTACACTAGTAGTCTCCACAGGAGGGTTGAGCACTAGATCATCTACTAGAGTTCAGGAGGTAATTATTGGAATCCGTATTTATATTTACCTTTTTATCTAAAAAACACTAGCATGTTTATATTTAATAACTAGCATGGTTTAATAGTCATTCCTTCTTTAATATGCCAGGCGGTCATTTGATACTAAAGGGATCCTGAGAGAATGCTTTGTTCACTTTCTTTGTGTCATATACTATAATAATTTGAATGTCTATTTAATGGACTTAGAAATTATTATTTGGTTAACAAAAACTAACAAGATGGATAAGATTAAGGGTGGGAAATCTTATGGAGAAAACCAACAAGGTAACTACAGAGATGTACACACGGTTGTTTAATTGGTAACGAACACAAAATCAAATCCATTTTCATAAACTAAAAAAATCTTTATGCCAATTTTGAGATATGACACTTTTAAGGAATTCAAATTCTTATTGTGAGGCATCTCTGCTGTGATACTGAAAATCAAATATCCTCTTTAAGTCTCTATCACAGTCTTAAAGTCTTCAGAAATAATAAAGATGTGGTGAAGAATGAAAGATTTTCTGACAACTTTTGTAGTGTAGATAATTAAAATTTAAATACTGGTGTTTTATCCATTTATGTACTATTTTTGTGATACAGATATTTATTGCTCTTGTATGACCGCAGTATGAATCCTATAAAATAGTATATAAATAAACATACATACCAACATGGGTATGTAAAAAAATTTGGAGAATATAAGTTTAAATTCACGGTAAAACAGCCTTTAGGCTTCTTGCTTTCTTTTCCAGTTTCTTATCTGTCTTATGTTTACATTTCATGCTTTACTCACACTGGACTTTTCTGTTTCTTGAATGTGCTACATACACTATTTCAAATATTCGCGCATTCTTATTTCTCCTTTCAGTTGAAGTTTTAAACACTGTAGAGCATAGAGCTACTCAAAGGCGGATCTTCGAAGTACTTATACCAATCTATGACAAGATAAGTAAAGAACTAGAGAGTAAGCATTTAGAAACCCGAATTGCATTTTGACATGGTCATCATCACCTCCAACTATATGGCTGGTAGATTTTTCTGTGAACAGGATGAATGGATTCGGGCACCACAGCAAACTGCATGCTAATTACACCTAGCAAGACTATGTTGCAACATGTGACACTTTTTGTTAGACATCTGTAATTCTGAAATGTGTAAGAATTGAAGAAGGTTTGAAGTATTTATTAGTCATACAATTATTCTGTTAATGTTCATCAGATTTATTTTTGTTCCATAAATAATTTAAAATAAATCTATAATAATAAATAATTTAAAAGTAAAAAGTTATTTTTACTGTTACATTTCAGAGTTTGTAAGTACTACCTAAACCTTGGAAGTAAAATTCACATTATTTTTAATCCTAATTTTACTAATGACAAAGCAACCTTTATTGGTCATTTTTGACAAAAAATGATTAACATTCATTCTGAGTATGACAGTCGTAGTAAACTAAATGCCAATGGGAATATTTCAGAGATACAGACCAAAAGCACTTGTATTAGTGTTGAGAAGTATTATCAGGATATTCACTTTTTAAAACTTTCATCCAAAATGCAGAAAACTTTTTTTTTTTTTTTTTTTGGCCTTTTTCAGACAGAGTCTCTTTTTTTTTTTTTTTTTTTGGCCTTTTTCAGACAGAGTCTCATTATGCAGTTCAGGCTGGCCTGGAGCTCACTCTGTAGCCCAGGCTGGTCTCAAACTCACAAGATCCTCCTGCCTCAGCCTCCTGAGTCCTGGGATTACAGGCATGTGGCAGGGAAAGGAGGGAGAGAATATAAAGAAATGTATGAGACACCATTAAGCAAAAAAATATTATTAAAGTTCCAAAGGTGAAGGGAATAGAAAAGGCATTAATAACTAGTTAACAAAATAATAGTTAAAAGTTTCTAAAATTTTAAAAAAGGTATGGATATCCCAATCTAGGAAGTTCAAATGACCCCAAGGAGACTTAGCCAAAAAAAGACACCGTGAAAGACATAAAGTGGCCCCTTGCATATGACTGGCCTCCCACACAAACAACTTGGGTTATGACTGGAATTTTAGGTTTAACTTGAGACCAAAGCCTTGAGTTACAACCAGAATGCCAGCTGCTGATGCAGCTATAAACAAAAACTCACGACGCCAGAGAAGCATATATAAGTGTGCAAAAGAGTCTGTCTGAAACCACACACTCACAAAAAAAAGTCAGTCTGAACCCAGATGTACATGCTTGTGGAAGTGATTTTGGTCAATGCTTTATATAACTCCTACAATTACTGCTATCAAATTGGCCCCAAAAAGCTAAAAAAGATGCTAAGGAATGAAGGGAAGTTAAAGAAAGGAATCACAATAGAAAAGATGAAGGAAATTGTGTAGAAATATGAGAATGGTGTTCATGTGACCAATCTTGCTAATATGTACACCATGTTGAAATATACCATCTTGACAGTCATATGGAAAAGATTTGCATAAGGAAGCTAGTGTTGCTAAAGGTGTTACTCAAATTAGTAAGTCACAATCAAAAGTGTTAGATAAGGTAGAAGGGCTATGTTAGTATGAATAAACAAAAAGCAAATAGCAGGTTATACCCTATCTGAGTCTGTAATTTGTTAAAAAGCTGGGGCTATAAATGCAGATCTCATGAAGGATAATCAATTAACAAATGATAATGGTGCAACATTTCACGTGAGTAAGAAGTAGCTTCACAATTTAAAGTGAGAACTCGGGTAACTAAGAAGCAGCCACTGCTGATAAAAGGGTTGCTGTATATTACACACAACACTTCAAAATGATGACACAGAAATGGCTTTTACTCTCATGAAGTTTTCAACTGTGATGAAACTTGCCTTTTCAGATGAAAATGCTCAGGAGAACATAAATGACCCAGAAAGAGAAGAAAATACCAGGTCACAAGCCTATGAAAGATAGACTAATCTTATTGCTATGTGCCAATGCAAGTGGTGAGCTCAAGATAAAACCTCTTGGTTTATCACTCTGTATTACAGTTAAATTTTCAAAACTCAAAAAGAATTAATTATATAAGAAAATACTTGTTAGAGTAACAGATTTCTCAGTAGAAACAGTACACAAAAAATGGCATGACATCCCATGCTCTTAGATAGGAAGAATGTTATTAAAGTATCTATCCCACCGTCTATCCCGCCTCTATCCATCACCATATCAAAAATCAACTCCAAGTGGCCAGGCTGGTGGTACCTACGTATAATTCTACCTACTCACCTGGTTTTTATAACACCATTTTAATGGCTGCATTGTAACACTGTATAAATACACACACACACACA